CGTCTCCACTTATTCTTCAGCTTCACCGATGCCATCTATTTAAGTTGTCACGAATCATCGATATAGTGAAGAGACGCATGTGTTTTCAATAGTTTAATTAAATGTGTGTTTTGTTTGTTGTTTAACACCGCGTTCCGCAATATTACAGTTATGTGTATGCGGTATGGAAATACAATGTATTACAATGTATTTGAGTCTGGACCAGACACTCCAGTGATTGACATCATGAGAATCGAACAGCGTAATTAGGACACGATGACATGCATCAGCCTAGTCTGCGAGTCTGATCCCGTTAGTCCCATCCTACTACAAGCATAGTCACCTCTTACGACAAGCATGGGTTGCTGAAGACCTACTCTACCCCGGATCTTCACGGATTCACAATATGGGTACTGATGACAACATACCTACTGGTGGAACATGTAACTGATCGAGTCTGGGCGAGATAAGCTAGTGGTTAAGAGCACGACATCGATCTACGTAGCTGTGCCATGATATGACGGCACACACTCCACCAAGTCACACACATCTTAACAATCCGATCCTCATTTGTAGACTTTTACGTGCACAGGTGGCCCAGTCATCTAAGGTGTCGCAGTTTTCTTTGCAGAGTTGCGTCCCTTAGACATGCCGGAAACCCCGGGTCGCCCCGATTATGTTTGAAAGTTTGTCAGCACCATAGACGTGCTCGTGGTTTCACCAAAGTGGTAAACGTGCAAGACCTGCATCCCTTCCAACTAACAGACCATGACGTAACTGAAGTAATCGTCAAAGCGGCGTAAAACCAAACTCACTCACTCACGACAAAATGCACACTCTGGGTATAGTCAGCCCAGGGTTCCTGTCAAATAAGCCATGAGTGAGTGAGTGTGTATGGTTTTACGCCGCTTTTAGCAATATTCCAGCAATATCACGGGTACCCATGTCGAGAATCGAACCCGGATCTTTGGCGTGACGAGCGAACGCTTTAACCACTAGGCTACCCGACCGCCCCAAGAGGAAAAGAAGTGGGGTTTAACATTATGTTTAGGTGTTGGAATGGGTTTAACGTCGAACTCAAGATTATTGCAATTATTCAGCGACATGTATAGCTTGGACTGATGCCGGTTTTATAATTAAAAATACGTAGATGTTTTATTAGTATGTCACGCGGCATATGCTGCACTAAAAGAACACAATGTTAGCACAGAAACACAACTCACCGTGCGGCAAACAATAATTCAGTGAAATCACTCAGTGTGCTAAAATATCAATACATCTCAAATATACATCTCTTGGTTTGAGTAAAGTACAGCCTGCTTTTAATGTCAATGTTTTCTTGGACCGGTTTTGCGAACTATCAAATATTTCTTATATTATATTGTAATACCAACCTGGTGATAATGCCAACGCCAATGGGCCTTTTTATTAACAAAAGCCCTAATTTCCCTGTCTATGATGTCATTTTTGTAAGAAGGTAATTAGTGCCAGCGTCATAGAAGTCGTTTCTCAAAACTGGTTAGGTTATAAAACTTGGGCCACTCTTTTGAGTGATCAGTTATTTGAATATGGATTTGCATATATATGTAGGTGACAATACTTTGTGAAACAATCTTGTATCATCCAGTATGCCCCAAGCACCTATTTCTCGTACTGAAATCATCTTCCCGTGGCAAGAGAGTTAACTGGCTAGAAAAGTCCAGTATCCAACCTTGCCGAACTAGGCTGGTATTATGGAGTTACATTTTGACTGGACTAACGAGTCTATGCATAGTCCAATCAAAATCGCGCAACAAAATCGAAATCCGGTTCGTAAACTGTCGTGCAGATTTTGGTCGATTGTAGGATTTGCAAAGCATGTGCACGGCCAACTCGTTGTCAGCAGACATTTTCCAAATCTTTACATGTTTTTAATCAAGATGCTCACGTGATTTGCTGCATTTCGCGCTGTAAGACCCGTTTTATCACAATATAGATCTTGATTATCGATCAGATCGTCCCGACTGGGCGCCGTCATTTTGTTTGAAGCAAATGCGAGTGATACGAGAAGTGGTATCTGATTGGTCCATAGGAGAGGCTTAGAAGGGACATAACTGGGTATAGCCACTACGATCGAGCCCAGTAATATCAGCCTAGTTCGGCAAGGGTGGAAAGTGGACTTTTAAAGTCAGTTAACTCTCTTGCCTCGGGAAGATTTACTGAAATATTCAAAAGGTGATTTCTACCATCTACAGTGCATGACGAGGGTATATTGGACGACACTTGAATGAGGCGCGCTGAATCAGTATCACAATTTAAAATATTCTCATGGAAAAATTGTTATCAGCAATGTTCAAAATTTGTTTCAATATTTTGGTACAAGAACAAAGCAGATAATTTACTGTAGACTTCGACTGAAATGCAGCGATCTACATGGACATACGTTGAATGGTTTTATCTTTTGGACCCTACTTACGTAGCTCGTCGTGGTCATTATTACGAAGACAATACTCTTCAGATATTTCAATGTATACACTTTACCGACTTTTAATGTTGAAACTGTATTGTTTGGAAATACCACTCTGTGAAATGACGTAAACATTACAACAATAGACAGTGACAGTGTTCTTGTTAGGTAGCGGACAGTGCTCTAGTTAAGTGTCGAACAGTGTTCTTGTTTCGTGTCTGAAAGTGTTCTGGTAAGTGCTGGACAGTGTCCTTGTTAAGTGTCTGACAGTGTCCTTGTCACATGTCGGACAGTGTCCTTGTTACATGTCGGACAGTGTTCTTGTTAAGTGTCGAACAGTGTTCTTGTTACGTGTCTGACAGTGTCCTTGTCACATGTCGGACAGTGTTCTGGTAAGTGTCGGACAATGTCCTTGTCACATGTCGGACAGTGTCCTTGTTACATGTCGGACAGTGTTCTTTTAAATGTCGGACAGTGTTCTTGTTACGTGTCTCACGGTGTTCTGGTAAGTGTCGGGCAGTGTCCTTGTTAAGTGTCGGACAGTGTTCTGGTAAGTGTTGGACAGTGTTCTTGTTAAGTGTCGGACAGTGTTCTGGTAAGTGTCGGACAGTGTCCTTGTTAAGTGTCGGACAGTGTTCTGGTAAGTGTCGGGCAGTGTCCTTGTTAAGTGTCGGACAGTGTTCGTCTTAAGTGTCGGACAGTGTTCTTGTTAAGTGTCGGACAGTGTTCTGGTAAGTGTCGGACAGTGTCCTTGTTAAGTGTCGGACAGTGTTCGTCTTAAGTGTCGGACAGTGTTCTTGTTACGTGTGGGTTGTCAATTTGTTGTTAGTGCTCGAAATAATCCGGAAATCTGTTACTCCGGGCGGCTGGGCATGGAACGGTACAGTCGCCATTAATGGTGTTCACTGCAGCGAAATCCATCTCCTGTACTTTTTTAAGTACACGCCGATTAACGATTCGTACACGAAAATCTTTCACACGGCATTTGAAAGTGTGATGATGTTAAAATATGTTGCATTACTCCCTTAATGTCAGGTGCAGCATCGCGTTATGTGCTGTAAGTAGCAGCGATGATACGTTAAGGAAGGCCCGAAGTGGGGTTTTCCCCACAGTATAATAATAATAACGATGATGATGATACTACTACTACTACTACTACTACTACTTCTACTACTACTACTACTACTACCACTACTACTACTACTACTACTACTACAACTACTACTACTACTGCTACTACCACTACTACTACTACTACTAATAATAATAATAATAATAACCAAGTGACTGCTAATGGCGCTAGATTAGTATTACCAAAAATTCATTCTCAGCTCCCTGGGAAGTATATACACCCCATGCAACACATTAATATATATGCAACCCTTGTGTGCATAGCATTCGTAGGACAACAAAAATAATCAAACTTATCCAAATTCTCTCTTCAGTTCTGCTGATATGTGCGGGTAGCATGAATAATACTTTTATGTATAGAAAGGTCATCAAAACAAGTTTCCTCTCAAGGAAGTCACTTCACTCCAAATCACCGCGAAGTGAATGAAGCGGGGGGAGGTATAGTGAAATACACTGCTATATACATGAAATGCACATTGCAATGTACAAAGAAATATATGGCAGTGGCAATGAAACCGAGGCCACTGTTCTGTTATACCTGCCAGAAATAGACATCCGTTGGCCACATGTGTTGCTATAAATATGCATGCCGTGATCACGAGACGGTGAATCAGTTAAAGATGTGGAGTAACGAGCGGCTCACACCTCTCACCCCACACATTCACTGTAGTCGTACCCACCAACCCTCCCTGATACAAGAAACACCCTCACGTGTGGGGACAGGTGGAAATAACAAGAGTGGGGGGTAATATGCGTGCGCATTGATTTCAGTTTACGCGCCAGTCCTCCTTGGGGATTATGGTTTGAACAAATCCCCACAACCTATGTAAGTAGAAAGAGGCGACTTAATACTCAGGTGGTCAGGCCAGGTGACTTGAAAATTGGTTGATTGCCTGACAATCTACCCCGACGGCCTTGATCGTTGCTCATGATATCAATCACTAGTTTGTCTGCTCGGTGTTCTGAAGCTGTATGTTTATTGATATATTTTTTGCAATATGAAGATGTTTTATGAAGTGCAAACTAATATAATAGTGTCTGTTTTTTCTGTTAATTTCAAGATCATTTTGAGATTTCACGTGAAGATATACGTGTTAGAATTGGTCTTCAGCAATCCATGGTTGTCATGTGAGACGGCAAACGGGATTGGGTCTGGCTCGGTGCCTTGGCATGTCATCGTATCCTAATTGCGTAGATCGATGCTCATGATGTCAATCACTGGATTGTCTGGGGCAAACTCGATTATTTACCCACCGCCGTCATACAGCTGGAACATTGCTGAGTGTGGCGTTAAACAACAAATGTAAACATCAATTAGATATTAATAAATGCTGTCCAAAATTCCATTTCCTATGACTGTGGAATTACACACGATTCTATATGTTTATGAATCATTATCAAATAATGTTGACACAGGTGTTCGCGAAAAGGTGAGCGTATGATG